TAGGATTAAGCGATTTCCACGGTAAGCCCGCCATTTTGCAAGCAGATGTTCCGTTCGCACGGCCCAATCATTAATCGCCCTCCCACTAATAGCGCGAAGCACTTCAAACCTACTTTCCACCCCTGGCCATTAAAATGAGCCGAAAAAGTCTCGATCGACGTATAAGACTCACGTGAGAAGTCCAACAAACAGGAAGAGCCTCCTGCGACTTACTTATTCTTATGTAGTTTGCTCTTTTCAAGTTGTCTGCATTTTACAAATATCTAAAAGATACTCTTAGAAATGTTTACATTTATAATTTCAAATAAATAATTTAATTCTTTTTACAGAAAAGAATTTGAGAAATTTCAAGTTTTATTTAAAAATTTATTAAAATATTTATTTATAAAATATCCTCCCGTACTCTTTCTCTTTTTGTTCGCTTAATATTCACAATTATAATAATGTGAGATGCATCAACCGCGATTGCTGAAATGATGATAATATTGTGGAATGCTAGTTGCAAATTTTAGTACATAGTACGTGTACACCGAAGACTGTTTTAGTCGGATTATGTCACCTTATTACACAAAGTTTACTTATACCAAATATGCATTAATAGGCACTAACTAAAATAGCACCAAGATAAACGCGGCAGTGTGCGGGAAGCACTTAAGGAGGAATAATTCAAAGCAGATACACATAACATTTCCGTGCAATTCGCATCTGTGTCTCTCGGCGCGTATATACGACGCAACTTAATTTCGCTCACAGTTACATAAAATTCGCAGACAGTTTCGTGTATTTTTGACTCTCGGAGAGATAAGAGAAATTATTTCAAACGATTTAATATATAACATTCCGAGACGCTCGCGTAAATAAATAAATGGGGACATGATCGGAAGGCAACGTGGTCTCGCGAATGCTTGATTCTACGGGGGCTTTACAGATGCAGCGCGTCGCACCTATGAGACCGAATGGATTTCACACGGCAATTTTTCTATTTCCGACTTTTTCGTCGTGAAGGAGCAACCGAGCGATCGGATTTACAAGAGTCCGATATCGATCGTGCGGGATGTTCCAGCACTTCGATAAACCATTTTTCTCTCGACGGTCTCGCTACCGAGGCGGAATAAAGTTACCATCCCTCCCTCTCTTCGCCCACCCCCGCCATTCCCTTCCTCGCGGTATACGAGTATAACATTTTTGTCTCGTACTAACGAAAGTACTCACTTTTATTTTACTGCTTTTAGCGTCGAGCAGCCGCTGCCAAATGACGCTTCTCTTTTTCGGGTTCTGAGCCGCGAGAGAGAAAGAGAGAGAGAGAGAGAGAGAAAAAGAAGATGATTAAAATCGGCATTTCCAAAAGGTAGGCCATAACTGCTGAATCGTCCCTTACCGTTTCGCGAATAGCCACGTGATCGAATTTAGTCGAGATTGGACCGGAACGGGACGGTCGTGCCGGGACTTCCGGTAATCCACTTTCCCTTAAACCGCGGACTTTCCCTCCCCCTCCCTTCTCCTTCTCTCCTCTCCTTAAAGCAGGATAAATGGTTAACGTGGAGAAACCAGAAGCTGAAGTAAATTCTCGAGTGTGCGCCCCGCGGATTAACTTTCTACTAACTACTTGCATTACGGGAAACAGCTCCGGCGAAATTGGAATATATTTCGCTCCGTGACATCGTTTAGCATGCTCAAAACTGTCATCGGGAAATAGATACTGAACAGAATGGTTCGGTCCCAGGAATAATAATAATCTCGCGGCGAGAGAGAATTGCAACTTTGTCGACCCACGCATCAGCGAATGATTCGACAGATTATAATTTCCTCTCGAGGATATCACGTTAATTAATTAAATCATCTCCTCTATTTTTGAAGGTTCGTTATTGTCACTGAACCCGCAAAATTACATATAAATAACCAAATAACTTTGCTTCGAGTTGAACGTGTTATTTACATCGAAGACGTATAAAAAGAGCACAACTTTATCGGATTAAAGGTGATTTGATTAGCTTTCTATTCTATGATTCTATAAGTATTTGTAGTATCACTAAAATACATATTTCATGGCGATCGATGTGGAAGATATCTGGAGAAATGAATCGTGACAGTAGCGTCTTGTATGCAAAATGCAACATGCGCACGAATTTCGCCGACGCGACACGTCGTTTCCGGCTCGAAAATAATTCAAGTAGAGAGAGAGAGAGAGAGAGAGAGAGAGAGAGAGAGAGAGAGAGAGAGAAAGAGAGGCAGACAGACTGGAATTTCGCGCTGGTCTCGATAGCGCGTGTGCGCGCGTTTAAAAGCTCTGGAAAGAGTGCCCGTGATTGCTGACTTTAGGATTCCGAGCAGAAGCGTTTTATGAGATACGCAATGGCTATTTTTACGGTCTTTTTATTTTTCATGCGAAGGTCGAGAGCCGGGTCGAGGTCTGTGACTGATTGATAATATTATGGCGTGCTACGAATGACGGAGGTATCGACAGCATCAATTCAATAGACTTTTCATCCGTCTATAAAGTTGTAATTATAAATATTACGACGAAAAGATTTACAAATTAATTGAATATTTCTTATTAAAGCGTAAATATTTCTTAAACTTTTAAATTTTTTCTCTTAAGACAGGATTAAACGTATTAGAACAAGAACATTATAAACTCTAATCTCTCTCTCTTTCTTTATTCGCGAATTATAAATTCCTGTCTCTCTCTCTCTCTCTCTCTCTCTCTCTCTCTCTCTCTCTCTCTCTCTCTCTTTCTCTCTCCCTACGGGGAAGAAATAAATTTGATTTACAACTTATTTAGTGTTTCTGAATAAAGAATTGAAGTTCCTTCGGGTAAGTTCTTAAGGTAAATTATAACATCCATTTCTTTTTAGCTCGCTAGCGGCACAGTCTGCCTCGAAATAAAAATCCATTTGGTCTACCGAGATCTCGCGAGTATTCGCAAGTGTATTCACATGTCGGTGAGAAAGCGTATCCTAGGATAGAGCAGATAGGTGGATGAGGTAACATTTAAAGCAGTGTTCACTTAACCGCGCCGCTTTCATTAAGCAGCCTGTGATGAGCCTGAGGGATTGAAGAGAAAGAGAGAGAGAGAGAGACGGAGAAGAGAGAAAGACAAAGAGAGAGGGAGAGGGAAAGAGACTCGGTAGATCTCGCCGCTAAGGTACACAAAGTACGTAACGCACTTTCTGTGTACGTATGCGGTTGCGGTGTCGTTCTCGCGTTAACAATACGTACATACTTCGCTCCGTATGCAGCCGGGAATTAGATCGTTCCACCGAGGATCGGCTACACCGCATCCTCGCGCATCCGCGCTGCGAATGAAGATATCAAATCCGACTGTGCATCAAGAGATTATTGTACATGGTAATTAATACAATGATAATTAATACTAATCAATATCGTAATTATATTGTGGATGATCGATTGTTCGTACAAAAAAGTAAACTATCAAGAGCGATTCTGAATAAAATTAAGAGGAATTTTTTTAAATTATCTATCGAAGAGAATTAAAAGTGGGACATCGTGTCGAGTACGATCGCGATTAAAGCAGTAACTTGTGTCTACGAGTTTAAGATTGCGGCAAGTGCTAAATAATGACGATTTTTAGATCGCATGCCGGCAACATCGAACCTAAGGTCTTCACGAGGGAATCGGGGAAAAAGAAACGAAGATAAACCACCAACGCCGGATACGTATCAGACCAAGTGCATCGCGGCGAGAAAGCGGAAGAAAATAGAAACGGCGTTATCGCGCCGCGCGGTGTTTTAGTAGCCGAGATGTTTCTAGGGGCGCGATTTCCAACGGATCGATAGAACGACCGCGCTTTATCGCAAGTTTGCCCCGCTGGTGATGACGCTGCGTTGCTAATGACATTCCTCTCGTTAAGACTCGACGATGACATCTCTTCATCGGCGATGCAAATGCAAACGGACGTGTAAAAAAGTAGCTCCTTGTTCCGTCCGCGGGAACAATTATCGAATCGATGCGGGAGTGCGAGATTTTATCGCGTTATCACGATAGTACGACCGTGAAAAAGTTTCGTCCCTTTTTGCGAAGATTGTCCTTTTATCCGCAAAAGATTCCCTTCGAACGATTGTCGTCGATTTCATTTCGAATTCCTTTCGGAAACGACTTCGGTATGACTTTTCTCGCGAGATGGCTGGATAGCGGATTAAATAAAGGATTGACAAAGCAATCGATCGCGCATATATGAACTTTGAGAGAGGAACTCGAATCTTTCAATCTCCCTTTCTATTAATCTCTGATGATGCATTGGATTAAGAGTTGATAGGGTTTTCGAATTCGAATGTGAAAACATCCTGTTTACTTGACGCGTATAACGCATAAAAATGTTATAACCGGGAGGTTTTTTTTCGCGAAAATCCAGATAAATAGAACTTTGTCGGTGTAAACTCTCGAGGCTGCAAGTTCCGCGCGTTCCACGTTAACTTCACGGCGCCGTACTCGGGATACAAAAATTCAAGTTATGCAATATACTATACGGGGGGCGCGCGGCTTAAAGAACTTTTTGCAAGATCCCATACAGAAAGTCCACGTTCGATGAGTTACGGTCCATTTAGCAAAACTGTTTACGCTAACTTCTCCGAAACTAGGAACATAAGCGGAATTCTACAGGGCAAAGAAGTCTCTTTCTCTTCCTCTCGCTCTCTCTGTTCTCGGCAGCGCTGTAATTTTTTGCCCCCTCTTAAGTATCCCGTAATGATCAGAAGTAAAATCGCAAAGTTGGACGAATGGAAAACATTTATTCTCAGTTTCAGGAGAAAAATATTTAATCACGAGCGTGTGTATGTGTATGAGCGTGTGGTTTTACGAGCGAAAAATATCTATCCCGATCATCAGAGTTGCTCGAAATAAATGCCATGGATATAGGGAATGAAAAGATCGTAAATTTCGCGAGTGTCGTGCGCAAAGCTTAAGCTCTCTTCGAGGCGGTCGCGCGAGTCGTGGTTGAGAATTCGAATCCATCGATCAGAGGTACTCTTCGCGGAGGTTACCTGGATCAAGGTGAAGCGTCCTCGAGATGGAAAAAGTGGCAGACCCTTCTCTACTGGGAATTTTCGATGGGGTGAGAAGTGGAATGTAAAACTTCGAGGGGCGAAGAAGGAGCGAGACGATCGGTGACTCCAACCAAGTGGCGCGTCTGTCCTTTCCTCGACAATATTCTAGTGACGACAAATTTTCATCCTGTCAAACAAAGAAACAGATTTAAAAAAAAAAGAAGAAATACTGTAACATTGAAATGAAAAATTTGAAATGTATATTTGTGCTTGATGTAAAGAACGCAAGAAGATTCTTTGTAACTAAATATAATACGTTATATTGCGTAGCATGTGGAATATATTATCCGGTTTAATCATACACTGTCGCTATCACCAGTCACGCGAGCCATTCTCCGTTGAATATGTATAGGTAATATGTAAATATATAACTCGCGGGGGAAGCATTTCGTCGTCAGAAAGCCGGATTAAGTAAATATTCGTGGGTATCGCCGAGTGAAGTTCAAGACATAAGCATTGTCGACGGATGGCGAGTAGTGACCACGTATATAAACTTGGTAAAGTCCATAAAGTCGGATAGAAACTGCCAAACGTATTCTCATTGGCATGTCAGTCAGTACTTTCTCTCTCTCTATCTCTTCTATTCTTCATCTTTGCCGGCTTTAATAAAAGACGCGCGCGTGTGCGCGCAAGAAAAATTCCAAGGGTCATTAGCACGTCCTACACACGTACGAAGAAAGAAGCCCTCTCGGAAATTTTTCGCGCGACACGATTTCCGTAACGCGGAAGTCTGCGCGGCTCATTATAATGCCATGTTTTTCACGAAGGATCGGAAATCCACTTCCCCACCTAACGTAGAATTACATTCTTACAACCAATTTGCATTTTCATCGCGTACGTCACGATAGAAAAAGATTTTTCCAAGTATTATGTGCTGCCCACATGTAACATAAATTATTGCGCGTATAAAAATACATACAAGATCCCTTCCTTGAAAGAAAAAAGTTAATTTCTCAACTCGATCAAAGATTCTTCCTTATCTTTGCTGAATTTTACATAGTTTACTCGTAACTATTCGGATACTATTCCGCTATAAAATATTTCACGGAGGAAAAGGGCCGCGAAATTTCTTTGATGATCTCGATGTGGTTCTTTAAATTCAGACACGAGGCAAAGGGGAGGGTACGAAAATTACGAGGAGAGATCGGAAAGCTTTCTTACAATTGGCAGGCGGACCGATGCTCCGGCGATCTCTCCTTCACGAGTTCTTTGGCCTGGATGGCCGTCTATATCGTCGGATCAATGGGATCGAAATAAGATGGATACAGACTCGGGGACTCGGGCACTCTTCTGCCATTCGTTCTTTTTCTTCCTGTCGATGTGGTAAGGGCACTCTTAGCTTCCTCTCCATACGGGAACAGATGTAGGGCAGACGGTCAGCCAACCAGAATCCCTATTGAATACATAAAACATACCCGAGAGTCGGTACCGAGCGTGAACGTGTAAGTGTCCGCTTCGTTACATATGAATGTACTTGAGTAAATACACAGTACATGAATACGTGCGTTTCATTGTGGTATTTGGGCAGAATGCGAATGTGCTCGCGAAAAAAAAATCAGAATCCTCCCTCATTAATTTTTAAATATGTAGTGTTTTTCAAATATATAAACATAATTTACAAAATTTCATTGATTAAGTAAACACCTACTATTGAAGATGTTGAGCAACACCGTTTTCCTTGAATTGTGTAATAATTAGAAATCGTGACGACTTATCGATCAACGTTCGTAATAATAAATTGGCAAAACATTATTCTGTTGCAAATTACCATCAGTCCGGTCGTGGAAATTTGGAGAGTGATTTTGCCTCATGAATTTCAATGCGCGGCCGGCAGATTAAGATCGGTCGAAATCGGCAGTCGGGTTCGACCAAAATTGCCCGACTTCGAACAATTTGCTTATTTATGTAGTTCAATGGAATTGTAATGATATCTGCAGCGTGTTAAAATTTAACTGCGAGACACATTTTATTTATTTCTTTATGCAATTAATCGATTGTATATAAATAGAAATATACTCTTAATAAATTCATACCCATAATTGTTTGAGAAGAATCGCTAATCAAACAAAATGAAATGTTCAACTTGAGCAAACGTTCATGCAATTAATCGATTGTATATAAATAGGAATATACTCTCAATTCATACATATAATTATTTGAGAAGAATCCCTAATCAAACAAAATGAAATGTTTAATTTAAGCAAACGTTCGAAAGAATACTTGAAAGGGTATTTATTTAAATAACGCCGAGTTCTAGATTACGAGAATGCCGTTAAAATAATGACAAATTGTTCCGTTGGACATTTTTCCACGGAGGCACGTCGCAGACATTAATTACGAAATATTCCCTGGGAAAATCGAAGGCGCATAAGTGTCCGTTGGATGTTGTGTAAGCAGCGATGTGAGCGTACTCGGCTGTATCCCGGAGAGAACTTTCCGTGCGTTGCGCTGTAATAGCTCTATTTATTGCAGTAATAACTGCTACCCACCTACGTACGAGTACCTTCTTGCTAACGTGCAGATACGTATTATGCGGGAGGGGTAAAAGGAGAACAGGCCAATCCTCTTATCTGCAGAAACGCGCCCGAAGATATTCGGCCCCGTTAAATGCACGGTCGAAATACGAGAAAGGCCGATGATGCTCCGTATTTGTACTTCGTAATTACGCGATCGATCGCGAGCCCTTATAAAGCCGAGGCGGCCTCGTTGCCCATACATCAACCGTATGTGTCTAAGTAAGCAATCGAGGATCACGGTTGACCGACACGACGGGGTATCCTGCCTGCACGAAAGGTAACTCGCGCAATCCGAGACAATGTTTGAGAATAATTTGATTGATAGGCGGCACACACGACAGGGGCGGAAAATATATGATATACAATACGGACGGAGGTTTGCGCAGCAACGTCATCGTTTACGAGTAAACGGCTACGTAAGAGTCCGCACGTTTCCTCACGCATTTTTCCCGCACCACGTGGATTCTCCGACCCTGTCAGTTTCATTTTTTTCCAATTCAGACGTTTAACCGACGCGAAAAATATATCGGGAGACCAGAGTGCGCTCGAATTCTGCGTAATTGAATGCACGTTGATTGATGGGTGTTTTAAACAAAAGCAAAACGTTATAACTATCACATCGCGAGAGTGCAGACAGGCGAAAAAAAAGAAGCCTTGTTATACACGAACGAACGAACGAACGAACGATCGACTCGTGCTTCCGATTGAAGGAGAGGCGCTCGGTCTGGAATAAAAAGAAAAAAAACCCGATGTCGACACGAGTACCTTCTTGTATTGCGATGTGTTCTCGAGTTAAGAAGAGGAACGCGGAATTATTTATGACCGCGTAAATAATTGCCGAGTAATAATGCTCTAGTTTAATCTTTCAGAGAATATCTCGAAAGAGAGGAAGATAGGGACGACACGATATATATTTTTTTATTTTTTATTTATTTTTTAAAAGGAAAGATACGAGAAGCGGATAAAGTTGCGCATTATATTTTTAGGTATCAGACAATAGCCGCTATAATTATTGTATGTAGTTACCTTATATTTTTAGACCCTTCGATGATAAGCCTTTATCGCAATATATGTCCTGGTCCCTATAATTTTGCCTGAATTATGTTTGCAAAAATTATGTGACTAGTCTGGCCATGAATACACATACACATACACACCCAATAAACCTCGCCCGGCTATTTCATTCTTACCTCTTGTATCGACACGACTTCCAGAACTCCTAGAATTCTCTCTTTCCGGGAAACTGCCGATTCTTATCCGAACGAGGGTGGATTATTGCCACCATTTCGTAGCGCACGGGCCATAAGGCTGGCGAGCTATCACGTGATATTTATTAAAGCACTATGACATATTTTACTGCGTCGACCCGATCATCCCTGATTTTTATTGTCAATTTATATCGCCCGCTCTATGCAAATAATGTTAGCCCGGCGCCAGTACACGTCGACGTGTTTACATTTAACTTGTGAAAATTCTTTAACCGACAGAGACCGACAACGTACAAAATTCGCCGGAAGCGTCAGAAATTAATATATCGATTAACCGCGCTCTCTCGCGTTATTTTATAAGCGAAAGCCGGCCCGATGAAAAACTCACGTCAGAAGTATCGTTAAAGACGAAGTACAGCGCCGTTATCCATAAATTGCTGAACATCGTACACGGCGCTCGCTCTCCACGAGACTACTAAAGTGGTATTAAAACTTTCTTATTTATGGATTTTCAGCAAATCGCTCTTGCCCACCTACATATTTAAATTAACATTTTACAACTTCGAAAGGTAGTTCCGATCCCTTTGTAAGCTTGAAAAACGTGAGAGGAAATAAAGAGGTACATCAAAATTATTCTCTCTCGCTCCACGAATATCTGTTAAATCCCACGAAAATCGAAGAACGAGTGCCGCTGAAAACTCTTTGCAAATATATATGGCAACTACGAATCACGTTATCGGCGTTGTCGTCCGACATCGATCCTTTCGACAGAAATTGGGCTAACCGGTCAGTCGTGACGCAATCCGACAACCTTGATTACTCCTTGTTCCAGGGTAATTATTCGTACAACGGTTTTGCTTCTCTCATGTCCTTCATCATTTCCGCATCCTTTCTTAGCCTCATCCATGTCTCATTTTATTATACATGATGAGATATTATTGTGTGTATGTCACGTGTGTGTGCCTTCGTTATTTCCTAATACCGTGATTCATATGTGAATTGTTATAGAGGGACGCGGATGGTATGCATTATTTATTCATTATAATTATTATAAATGAAGCGCACGTGCATACTTTGTGAATTCGTGTTTACGAAAGTCTCCATGATAATTTCGAATGACACAAAAAGATAATGATTTTTTTGTATTAAGTTATTTCTACGATATTTTTGCACACGTGGATGAACATGATTGCGGATAATCAACGCTTTTTTTATCTATATATACGGAAGAGTCTTTTCACATTTTTAATATTTTATTATTGGAATATATAAAATGTTGACACATGCATGTACACGAATAGATAAATAGACTCGGGAGAAACAACGTAATATTAATCAATTATCTATTCAAATTTACAAACTCTGTAAATTATTTATCTCGAAAGGCCAAATTAACCTTTATAGATAAATAGAGTGTAATTTGTGTAACCATGAGAGATAACATTATACGTTTAAATTGAATATCGAAACCGGATGCGCGTGGATGATATCGCTTTGCTTTCACATCCGATATATCCGACGCAGTCAGTTGTATATCGAAACAATATTTGTATACAAGAGAGCTACTTAATTCTTCTCTAACGTTCTCTCTATCCCGATCATGACGCGCATCGAAATTTTCGTATATTTCAAATTACCCTGCTAATTATCTCGTTACATGCATATAGCTTAATTAAGCGTAGACTCCGACAATGAGACGGCTAGTTAGGCGCTCAAGGATTTAATTGCGTCAGAGCACATCACTCGAATCAGACATCAGCAGCAGCAACAGCAGAAACTACGACGTAGGTATAGCATTTCGGTGGATTAGATACATGCATAGCTCTTATCCAAGATAGACGCTCGTTATTTATCAAACATCTTGCCGATCATCAACATGCGAATGCGGCCTACATCGTAAAAAGTCGCAATAATACGATCTCGTGTAAATCACTCTGTTGCAATTTTTTCTTAATAATATAAAAAATAGACTCGAGTCATTTTGAGGCGTAAGATGAAGTGGAAGTTCTCGGTGTACTTTAGATATACCGATGATACCGAACCGCCGTCGTTTACCCCCTTCGGGCTGCTTCTCTGTTCGTAGCTCATGCGACCACCGGGGCGTCTATTCTCAACGGCGCCCCAGGTCGTAATTAGTTTGTGGCTTTAACCAGGTCTGTCATCCCTCGCGTTTCGTCCAGCGGAAAGGAACGATGCAAACTGACACGTCCGCTGACTAGTTGGCTGCTTGCATTGCCGGCAGCTAGAACAGTCCAGCACGGGGAAGATTGCGGACGAACTCGGGGATGAAAAGCGTAGTTTGTCGGCTCGCTTTAAACGTCCACGACAGAATCGCTATTGGAAATTAATAAACGAACCGGCGACGCGCGGAGAAGAATGTAACGTTATAAACATCGAGACGAGACGAATAAACGACGCAATGATAACTTTCCCGCTTCCGAAATACGGCGAGGTGAATTTTAAAAATCGTAAAAATCCGAGATCGTTCACGCAGGCGGCAAACGTGACGATATAAATGTTTTGCCGAGACAGCGCGATTTTATATCGTCGCGACGTTATATAGCGGAAAGAAACGCCCCTCCGCCTCCTCTCCCGAGAATCCTCTCGTGCGAATTCAAGCATGCAGATATTCGCCGCGTGTTAGGTGAACGTGAAAGATTAAAAACGGGGCAGGCAAGCAG